CTCACATCCCCAGCCGCCTCGGTACAACGTGAGCGCTCACATCCCCAGCCGCCTCGATACAACGTGAGCGCTCACATCCCCAGCCGCCTCGGTACAACGTGGGCGCTCACATCCCCAGCCGCCTCGGTACAACCGGAATTGGAGCCGAGGCCGCCACATGGGCTCCATGGTATCCAAAACGGGATCACCGCGCCTCTGCAGCGCGTGGCCAGCGTGGCACGCACCAATACGGATCGCACGTGGCGATGGCTGAGTGGCTGAGCTGGCTGAGGCGGCCGCTCAGAACCTGTTATTCAATGTTCATGGCGTACTATCCACGCGATGTGACCACGATGCGCGCGCTGGGCCGGCGATGGGTGACGGTGACCAGGTCCTCGCCATAAATACACCGTGAGCCCGCGCCAACCCACATTGGGCCAACCCGTGGTCGCTTGGAGAAGGACATGACTGTGCTTGATGAATTATAGGTACTTGATGGAGAGAATCTGCAAACATTCTTCACGTGAAATGTGCAGGCACGTGCAACCTGGCGTCTGCGTGGCTCTGATTTCGTTTAAGTCTTCTCCATGTTATTGATACATTTTATGGATAAATTATTCAATACCCTGCATCATATTTGACATACCATCGATGCCCTAAACGCTGAATTGCAAGCGTGCAAGGAAATGATGTTTCCAATCACGATATCATGCGTGCATGATATCGACGATGCCACGGTAATGATCATAATGTTGAGGCAGCGTCCCCGCCCGCCAGTTCTGCCAGGTTGAATAACCCTCGCGGCACGGTCCGCAGGAGCTTATCAAAACGTTCAACTTCCATCACTTCGACAACGTGTCAGCCAGCACGCAGAAGATCGACCCGCGCCGCACCTGCGCGGAGAAGCGGGCTGACGTTCTGTACCGGGTGCTGTTCGCCGCGGCCGCCGGCGACCTCACCGCCATACGCCGCTACTGGTCGGTCCGCGCCCCCATCAGCTGTCGCTGTTGATCAGTGTCGCTTACCCGTCAAATATCGGTACCGGCTTGCCCACACGCCGGTGCTGGCCGGCTGAGCACCAGACGAGATGCCGCAGTTTGTCGTTTTGGTTTCCTGCCCGGTGTCGGTCCTGGCTTCCGCCACGCGCCGCTGCTGGTGTGGCCTGGCCCCACGTGCTGTCGCCGCTACCCTTCCGAATTCGAACCCCCCCCCCCCCCCGTCCTACCCCAAAAGTCGCTGCTGGCCGGTTCAGGCTCCGCGCCAGGTGCCACCAGACGTCTAGGCTGGTCCGCCCGGCTGCCCGCGAGATGTTTGTACTGGTCCGTCCCGGCTCCCCGCCAGATGTCTATGCTGGTCTGTCCCGGCTCGCCGTGATATGCCTATGCTGGTCCGCCCCGGCTGCACTTGAGATGCCTATGCTGATCCGTCCTGGCTGCCCGTGAGATGTTTATGTTGGTCCGTCCGCCTCCCCGCCAGATGTTTATACCGGTCTGTCCCGGCTCCCCGTAATATGTCTAGGCTGGTCCGTTTCGGCTCCCCGTAAGATGTTTATACTGGTCTGTCCCGGTTCCCCGTAAGATGTCTATACTGGTCTGTCCCGGCTCCCCGTAAGATGTCTGTGCTGGTGCGTCCCGGTTCCCCACCAAAGGGCTGCACAGTGAGGTCGTTCAGGGTCGCATACGTTTACAGGAAGATGGTCTTTCTTCTTTAAATATGATCATGGCTGCGCCATGGCTCCTGAACACTAAATGGCCATTCCAGTCGCTGGAGGTCCACAAGAGGACTGTGACGACATGCGTCGCGTTTCCTTTAAAAAAGAAGGATGATTTATCGTCGAACCTTCCAGGTGGTGCTAGCAAGCCATTGCTGTCATCACCGTCAAATGCTGTTGTAGTAAGTCAGTCATGCCGCGCTGGTGCACTATGCTGCTGGATGGCTTATGGCGTTGCTTCACTGCCAGGCAGAAGCTTTTAGTGGTTCCGGTGCTGCAGAGAATTAATCTAGAAAGGCCCTGGCGTCCACGCTGTTGGCAACTTCCAATCATCTTCCAATGTTATTTCAAGTAAATCCGCAGGATAATGAGGCATAGTCGGACATTTTGGACCTCCAGCGGCTCGACTCAGCCCTTCCACGCGGTCACGCTCTTCAGGGATTATATCTTCAGGGGTGATATCTTTGCAACCGCTGATCCTACCGTCATTCAGTTTTAGTAATACGTAGCGTAATTCTTTTGAAGCTGCCCGGTAATGTTTTCCAGGCATTTGCCCCCAAACTATTGCCAGTAGCATTGCAACATCACAATTTTATCTTCCCATTCCATAAGTATCAGAAGAGTAACATTTACAAGTTCGCAAGAAGTGAAACGATGATGGAAATCTGGTCCAAATATTGACGACATGAGATGAACGTATTCTGGAGGAGGACAGAACACCATATCGTTATGGTAGTGGTGTAAGTCAATGTCAGTGTAGCTGGTCACGCGCAGTGGTGCAAGTCAATGTCGGTGTAGCTGGTCACGCGCAGTGGTGTAAGTCAATGTCAGTGTAGCTGGTCACGCGCAGTGGTGCAAGTCAATGTCAGTGTGGCTGGTCACGCGCAGTGGTGTAAGTCAATGTCAGTGTAGTTGGTCACGCGCAGTGGTGTAAGTCAGTGTCAGTGTGGCTGGTCACGCGCAGTGGTGTAAGTCTAGTGCCAGTGTAGCTGGTCACGCGCAGTGGTGTAAGTCAGTGTCAGTGTGGCTGGTCACGCGCAGTGGTGTAAGTCTATGTCAGTGTGGCTGGTCACGCGCAGTGGTGTAAGTCCATGTCAGTGTAGCTGGTCACGCGCAGTGGTGCAAGTCCATGTCGGTGTGGCTGGTCACGCGCAGTGGTGTAAGTCTATATCAGTGTAGCTGGTCACGCGCAGTGGTGTAAGTCCATGTCAGTGTGGCTGGTCACGCGCAGTGGTGTAAGTCCATGTCAGTGTAGCTGGTCACGCGCAGTGGTGTAAGTCAATGTCAGTGTAGCTGGTCACGCGCAGTGATGTAAGTCATTGTCAGTGTGGCTGGTCACGCGCAGTGGTGTAAGTCAGTGTCAGTGTAGCTGGTCACGCGCAGTGGTGTAAGTCAATGTCAGTGTAGCTGGTCACGCGCAGTGGTGTAAGTCTATGTCAGTGTAGCTGGTCACGCGCAGTGGTGTAAGTCAGTGTCAGTGTAGCTGGTCACGCGCAGTGGTGTAAGTCAGTGTCAGTGTGGCTGGTCACGCGCAGTGGTGTAAGTCAGTGTCAGTGTAGCTGGTCACGCGCAGTGGTGTAAGTCTATGTCAGTGTGGCTGGTCACGCGACACATGCATGCAAATCAAACCAATGCAAACGCGAATCATATATCGCGAGAATGAATGTTTTCTTCTACATGAGAGTTGTTAAAAAAGGGGCCTGTCCTCTCCTATCTGGCAATAGAGGGAACGCATTTTTCCCGCCCCCGCCCCAGCCCCCGGTTGTGCCGGTCCTGGCATCAATGCATTTATGCACACTAAATCCATGAAAGAGGGACATTCTAATGCGTTGATAACATCAAAGCTCAGGGATTCCAACGCCAATGGCTGCGGTCGCATACTATTTGGTAGTATCCACTGATGACAACACTGCAGTCACCGATAATAATACGGTGATCATTCTGTGTTCTATTTACTGATAGTAACACAATGATCATGTTTGTTATCACCTCGCTCACCCCTTGCACTGAATGTGAATACCTTCCCCACCCCCCCGCTCATTTTATGCTGTTGTCCGACGGACATCAGTACCAGTCGCGCCGTTTTTCGGTAAGGTGATCAGCGCAGAGTTATGCATTTGTGTTGTTATTGGGGCTTTACTGGGCATTCAGCTGCCGATGCTATGTCTTCGTTGGCTGTCTCTCTCCCCGGCAGAAAGGGCGGACACCGCGAGGAGTGGAACCCCGTGCCTCTGGCTGCTCAGACGCGCAACTCGACCAGCGCACTGCCCATATCCCTGAACGTCAGTACTGTCAGCGTTCACTGTCTGCCAGTATGATGGCTGTGAGCCTCCCCTTACCACCACCAGGTAGCCTAGGCAGGCCGGCGGTCTGATGACCGCAAACCCCAGTACCAACAACACTTGCTGCCCACCAGTCTGATGGACGTGAGTCTGAACGCCGGGGACTACGACGGCCGGACGGCGCTGCACCTAGCCGCCGCTGAGGGGCACGTGCACGTCGTCGCCTTCCTGCTGGAAAAATGCGGCGTCAAGGTCAACCCTAAGGTGCGCATAAGGCTCTCTTCAAAGCTCGCTGAAGCCGATTGGTCTCGTCAGCTTCCGCTTTTTGCTGATGGACTCAGGCGTGACTTATAAGCAGAGACAGCAGTACGTTTTAGTTACCTGTGGTGATTTTCATGCTTGCCGAGATTTAAGCCAGAAGTGCTCTTGTTGCAGCAGTACAGTCGTTCGGACTCCTGCTCTACTTATTGGTTTCTGATAAATTGCCCGCTTCTGCAGGCGAGGAATCTTATGCAGTATTCCTTTGAATTTAAAGTGCGTGTCATTTATCATCGCGCAATGTAAATGTCCTATGCATTATCATATTTAGCTCGAACATTACACAAAAATAGCAAATGAACCTTTTGCGGACAGGATCGCTGGGGCAACGTGCCATTGGACGACGCCAAGATGGGAGGCCACCTCGAGATCATTAACTTACTGCGAAGGAAGTATAAAGAGACCCACGGTATCTCTTTCGATGAGAGCGTTCCAAGACCGGAACATGCCTCTGCGGTGCCAGCGAACACCAGGTGTCCGGCGCGGACCTCGCCCGACATCAACATCTCCCCCACCAGCAACCTCGCGCTGTCCGAAAACACTACCACCGAGGCGAAGCTGAACAATCTGACCCAGCCGAAGCCGGAGCCGGAGCTGGAGCCGGGGACAGAACCGGAACCGCTGTCGGAGCCCACACCGGGAGAAGCGCAGGGGCCGGCGTCGGAGCCAGAGAGAGGCGCGCTACGAAGTCCTGAAACAAAGTCGGAACCAAAGGTGGAGCCAGAGCAAAAGCCAGAGCCGGAGACAGAGCCGGAGACAGAGCCGGGAGAACAGGCGCCGATCAGAGCGCCCCCGCTGTCGTCCAATGTTCGCACCGTCAGGTTTAGTGACCGCCGTCTGTAGGTCACTGCGCCGGCATCGTCAGCAGCACCTGGAGCGGTGCCGGTAGTGCGGCGGTGCCCATCAGTCGCAGTAACATGCGGAGAGGCGGCAGCTTCCGGCGTGGCAGTGCCTGTGGTGTCGGTGACTTCCGATGTAGTGGCGCCAGGCCAATTGATGTCCTGAACGGTCCTGGGCGGACGTCCTGAGTTAAGTCCTGGGCGGTGGTGAACGATCGTCCTGAGCCCTGTTCTCAGCGAGCGCCCTGTGCCAGGTCCTGGGCGGTGGTGAACGATCGTCCTGAGCCCTGTTCTCAGCGAGCGCCCTGTGCCAGGTCCTGGGCGGTGGTGAACGATCGTCCTGAGCCCTGTTCTCAGCGAGCGCCCTGTGCCAGGTCCTGGGCGGTGGTGAACGATCGTCCTGAGCCCTGTTCTCAGCGAGCGCCCTGTGCCAGGTCCTGGGCGAATATCCTGAGCATTCCCGAAGTCCCGAAGAGTCTTCTCGAAACCGAAGCGCCAGGTGTCCACTCCGGATCCTGTTTCAGCTGGCAGCGGATGTCGGTTGGGCCAGTGGCAGCAGAAAATGAGGTACCTGGCCGCATCATGACCATGAGACGGGCATGATGTGCAATACAAAGAAATCAGATTTTAAAAAAGTGTGGCGTGTCGTGGTATGAACATCGATGTCTGTAACGCAACCTAATCATAAGCAAAGGAATTACAACGTCAAACCATTGGGTGGAAGTTGCGAAGAGACTGTACCATGAGGTCGGCATGTAAGGGCGATGGTCAGTTGGCCAAGAACGGCCGCAGCTTACCTGGTTCTTATGAAAAGTTGGCCCAGAACGGCCGCAGCTTACCTGGTTCTTATGAAAAGTTGGCCCAGAACGGCCGCAGCTTACCTGGTTCTTACGAAAAGGTGCTACATAGCTCAGCCGAAGTACAACGACTAATGAGAAGACTTGTGTAATGCCAACCGCAGTACGAACAAACAAGTATACTTTCATCGAAGCCAGCGTTTAGTAAGCGTCACGAACCTTAGGGGCCTACCGCGTGAAATATCGATGAGATGTAGCCGGGCGAGACCAGAGGAGAGTCAGCTCGCATTGGAACATAACGATAACGTCTGCAAAGCCCTTCACATTCTGCAGGGGTGCCGTCTTTAGGTCATTCGCGATTACACCGGTGGCGGCGGTGCTCTGGCAAATGGCTTCGTGGAATAGCGCCAGACAAGCTTCCGTGTTATCGGACGATTGTGCAGTACGTGCATCGACACACTGGTACTCTCAGAGGGAAGCGTACGGTTGGACAGCGGTCGCTACTAAGATCACAACTGGCTTTAAAAGCGACTGACATAACACAATGAATGGGCCGATAGTTCTGAGGGAGACAAAGACAGTCATCTTATAGCTGCCTAGGGGAAAGCTGTGTCTGAGTAGTTACATGAAATTCCAATTTAAAAAGCAGTATCCGAGAGGCAAACAGATGTGCGGTGCCATAAATTTCATGTTTTTTGCCTAATTTCTTGGTGCGGAGTGAAATCTCACTTAAAGAAAACAAATAGACACTATCTGGGTGTTTGCATTTTTTTCCGAGTTCGGAAGCGTTCCGTAGTGTTGGGAGAGGAAGACTGGTGAGGTGAACACGGAATTTTATTGGAAATGACGGATGCCTTTCGGGTTGTCATGTCCAACACCGGCTGAGAGACGCTTAACGCCACCTCACCGGCGTCCCTGCAGACGTCATCGGTCTCTGTCTCCACCGGTCCAATCATCCTGCAACATCCACTGCTCGATTAGAAGCTTGTAACGATAAATTTAGCCTCCGTGGCTAGCCTGATGTTGTCAGACAATCACCGTGAGCTCCAGTTGCGTGAGGAGCGATACGATTGTACTGAGACCAACCCCCATATAAAAACACTTATCTAACTTAAACAATGTGGTTCAACTAACAGCAAGCAACCTTTTCTTGAGGTATGTATGACTACTATGTCAAACTACATTATGCGTTATGCATTTACTATTACTACATTATGCTGCTGTAGTAAAAGTTTGGTGACGCAGGTATCGATAGCGAGAAATTTTCGAGCATGTGGTCATGGGGTAGCGATGTAGCCATCTGCAATCTCAGAAAGTTGGTACGGCTTTAAAAGAGTCTTGTCATGTCACCAAAACCATATGGCTTCATTAATGCGAATGTTTCACATTTGGAGATATTGTAGCGAACATTAAATAGAAAGAAATTAACTCATTTATAACTATTAGCACATTTTTAAGTAGGAAAGCATGCTATAAAACCGCAATTTCTCTGTTGCATAAATATACTCCTCAATGCTACCAGGCACACCTATTGGCTTGGCACCGACGTGGCTAATAACACGGCGTACCAAAGCTGAACGACAGTTCGTTCCGTCGCCTAGCCTCCATGATGACGTCTCCCTGTTCGGACCACGCTCCTCCGCATCTCTTTCACGGGGGGAGGGATGGGGGAGGGGGCACCACTCCATCGGGCCACATCCACCGCTCTCAACTTTCCACTACCGTGCACATGCCTTTGGCAGCGTCTCGCCTAGCACGGAGGCGCCGCTTCCGGCGCTTCAGCGTCCTCACCTCCCGCCTGCCGGAGGCAGATGTGCTAGGCACCGCCCCACGGTGTGTCCCTCAGAGGCCTGGAGATATACAGCGCACCTGATGGGACGTTGGAGCCCATTGGCAGACAGCGAGCGCCAGGCGTGACTTACACTCACGCGTTACGGTCTCCTCGGCCGGCCCTTTGGAGATTCGGCCTGACCGGATGAGCGACGACTTGGTCACTTGTCGCCCTTCCTAAAAACGTCTGTGGCCGGATTTATATCCGTCCCGAGCATCCCTCCGCCATGAGCTGATGAGGCCTTGAGTACACCGCGTCGGAAGAGGACAGGCTGCGTGTTGGTCTCTCCCGAGGCATTGCACACCAATGGATGGGTCCAGTCACCGCTGTGCGTAGTCCTGCATCCCTGGTGGTCTGAACTAGTCCCTGGTCATACTATGACCTACGTGCCTCGTCATTCCACCACGCCTGAGGTCAAGTGAGAGAAGACGAAACCAGTCCGCCGTCTCCTAGTCCAAAAAAGAGCGAAGCCGCCCCTTCGGGTTGTGCTACCCAGAACCGCTTCATCTGCGTAAGAGCAGGACTGCGGTCGCCTGGATCCTCAATCCTGAACATAACCGAGCTGCGCTGATCGGGCGCCTTCCACACTTATCGCCGCTTGGGGCCATTGCACGTCCTATATGATTATCTCCATTGGGGTCACTGCGCCCCCTGTGCGATTATCGCCGCTCGGGGCCATTGGGCCCCCTGCGCGATTATCGCCGCTCGGAGCCATTGGGCCCCCTGCGCGATTATCACCGCTCGGGGCCATTGCGCTCCCTGTGCGATTATCGCCGCTCGGAGCCATTGGGCCCCCTGCGCGATTATCACCGCTCGGGGCCATTGCGCTCCCTGTGCGATTATCGCCGCTCGGGGCCATTGGGCCCCCTGCGCGATTATCACCGCTCGGGGCCATTGCGCTCCCTGCGCGATTATCGCCGCTCGGAGCCATTGGGCCCCCTGCGCGATTATCACCGCTCGGGGCCATTGCGCTCCCTGCGCGATTATCGTCGCACGGGGCCATTGCACTTCCTATATGATAATCCTGGCCATTGCGCTCCCTATGCGATTATCGCCGCTCGGGGCCATTGCTCTCCCTGCGCGATTATCGCCGCTCGAGGCCATTACGCTCCCTATATGATTCGATCTTCGGGAAAGGACGGCGTGTTGCCTCTCCAACGGACAGATGGCAGTCCGACCGGAGTTGACCCCGTCGATTCCAAAGTGAATGCTCCACCCAGCTCCCCGTTCTGTCACTCATTGACGTCCGCTGAAGGCCATCCTGCGCGAGTGTTGCGACGCCGCGCTGCTCACTCATTGATGCCGGCTGAGGGCCATCCTACGCAAGTGTTGACGCCGGCTGTGGACCATCCCACGCGAGTATTGACGCCGGCTGTGGACCATCCTGCGCGAGTATTGCGAGGCCGGCTGTGGACCATCCCGCGCAAGTATTGACGCCGGCTGTGGACCATCCCACGCGAGTATTGCGAGGCCGGCTGTGGACCATCCCGCGCGAGTATTGACGCCGGCTGTGGACCATCCCACGCGAGTATTGCGAGGCCGGCTGTGGATCATCCCACGCGAGTATTGCGAGGCCGGCTGTGGACCATCCCACGCGAGTATTGCGAGGCCGGCTGTGGACCATCCCACGCGAGTATTGCGAGGCCGGCTGTGGACCATCCCGCGCGAGTATTGACGCCGGCTGTGGACCATCCCGCGCGAGTATTGACGCCGGCTGTGGACCATACCGCGCGAGTATTGCGAGGCCGGCTGTGGACCATCCCACGCGAGTATTGACGCCGGCTGTGGACCATCCCGCGCGAGTATTGCGAGGCCGGCTGTGGACCATCCCGCGCGAGTATTGCGAGGCCGGCTGTGGACCATCCCACGCGAGTATTGACGCCGGCTGTGGACCATCCCACGCGAGTATTGACGCCGGCTGTGGACCATTCCACGCGAGTATTGCGAGGCCGGCTGTGGACCATCCCGCGCGAGTATTGACGCCGGCTGTGGACCATCCCGCGCGAGTATTGCGAGGCCGGCTGTGGACCATCCCACGCGAGTATTGCGAGGCCGGCTGTGGACCATCCCGCGCGAGTATTGCGAGGCCGGCTGTGGACCATCCCACGCGAGTATTGACGCCGGCTGTGGACCATCCTACGCGAGTATTGCGAGGCCGGCTGTGGACCATCCCGCGCGAGTATTGCGAGGCCGGCTGTGGACCATCCCGCGCGAGTATTGCGAGGCCGGCTGTGGACCATCCCGCGCGAGTATTGACGCCGGCTGTGGACCATCCCGCGCGAGTATTGCGAGGCCGGCTGTGGACCATCCCGCGCGAGTATTGCGAGGCCGGCTGTGGACCATCCCACGCGAGTATTGCGAGGCCGGCTGTGGACCATCCCGCGCGAGTATTGACGCCGGCTGTGGACCATCCCACGCGAGTATTGACGCCGGCTGTGGACCATCCCGCGCGAGTATTGCGAGGCCGGCTGTGGACCATCCCACGCGAGTATTGACGCCGGCTGTGGACCATCCCACGCGAGTATTGCGAGGCCGGCTGTGGACCATCCCACGCGAGTATTGAAGCCGGCTGTGGACCATCCCACGCGAGTATTGACGCCGGCTGTGGACCATCCCGCGCGAGTATTGCGAGGCCGGCTGTGGACCATCCCACGCGAGTATTGACGCCGGCTGTGGACCATCCCACGCGAGTATTGACGCCGGCTGTGGACCATCCCACGCGAGTATTGCGAGGCCGGCTGTGGACCATCCCACGCGAGTATTGCGAGGCCGCGCCCCTTACGGTGCTTGCGTCAGTTTTCAACAATTAAGTCGCAGGCACCTGCATTTAGAATCACTCGGACAGCGGTGCATGTCGACCTACTTGGACTTCGTTCCCCACCTTCATGTGCAACATGCCCCTCTCGTTTCTAATGGGATCACATGGTTGCCCCACCTCTCGTCCGAAACGCAGCGCCAGGCTGGGGGAGGGGGGGGGAGGTGCATGGCCAGTGTCCACTCACCCTTGCCCAACTGCACAGGGGGAAAGAAGTGAGGGCGGGGGTCAAAAGGCGTCTTCGGAGCGCACAGCGGT